CCACACATGGACCCACATGCATGTCCACCAATGGCATGTGGGGTCCACCTTATAAAATGTATGTGGGCCCCACATACATGTCCACACATGGACCCTACATGCATGTCCACCAATGGTATGTGGGGCCCACCTTGCAAAATGTACGTGGGTCCCACATACATGTCCACACATGGACTCCACATGCATGTCCATCAATAGTATGTCAGGCCCACCTTGTAAAATGTACATGGGCCCCACATACATGTCCATGGTATGTGGGTCCCATGTGTTAAATGAAAGGTTTGTTGGCCCACACACAAGACATTCACATTTTATGATCTTTTGTAAGATCTATGTAAAATATTTCAACCAAGCAGTCTTTGGTCTTCCAAGATCTATTTACAAAATCTCACCCTGTCTTGTAACCATTAGATCTTGTAACAGATCTTCTAGAAAAGAGTTGCCAAACAGGCACAGAGTTATTTAGAAGCTATCAAAAATTGGTTCAAAACATGCTCTTGTGGAGTTAGCATTATTTATTGTTAGGGATATTGCATCTGCCTCGTCAGAACTGCATTCTAAGCACATTATTCATGAAGGTGAAAACATCTTGATTAATTTGGATGGTAAGAGATTTGATGACACTCCAATTGTCAAGCTATGTAGTTTTGACAGAGCAGTTCCACTTAGGTCGTCCTTACATACATGCTGTATTGCTCATGTTGGAAAACCTCCCCTTGATGTTTGTGTTGGAACTTCTCACTGGATGGCACCAAAGCCCAAAGGTCCCGCAGGCAATAATGCATATATGGGCTGATAAGTTTACTCTTACGTGGGTTATTATTGCTCAGATTTGTCAATACTTGAAACTTTGTGTGTTCTCTATGTGTAGATGTAGTTGTTTTCAAAATTGAAGGCATGAATTCTTTTCTCTTTTATTTGGGTAATCGAAGACATGAATTCCATGCCATGACATCTTCTTATTCAATAGTTTGGCAACATTTCTCTTCAATGGTTTTAATGTAACAGAGAATGCGTTAGTTGTCAACTATAAGTTGTTGTGTACTTGTTCTTACTATTTCAATTTTTGGATAGCAAGTTTTAAAAAGTCTAATACAGATTACTCCTGTTGACTATCTAAAAGAAAATCTCTTCGGTACTTGTTCTTATTTGGGGTATCATTTGGTAAATGGGGCAGCCAGAAAAAAAAACAATGGACAAATGCACTTGACCTCTAAATTAGTATTCTAGTTAGAAGACTAATTAAAAGGGCTGACAGACCTTTTTCTGTCTGAGATCTCCTGAGTGATTATCACTTCTGCTGTACTGTAATCAGCAAAATGCTGTTTTACTTTATCGCTTTTGGCTACCCTAATTTGGATAGTTTATTGCATTTTATTTTGCTAAAAAATTTCTTGATGTTGCTTTAGAGAGAGAAAGAGAGAGATGTATATGTATCATTAATCAGACTTATCTGGTACCTGGTACCACAGAGGTACCACAGAAGTAAGAAAGATGGTTAAAAATATATTTTCCTTACATCAGATTTCACTAATCAAATTCATTCCAAGAATAGGAAAACAGTTTCATCAAAGCACGTGATTTATTATTATTTAGAAGCAAAAAACAATTATAATAAATTTTTTTGAGAAGCCTTCTTTGGGCTTCTCATTGTATTCTGCAATTCCACATTGCCCAAGGACCTTCTTTGGGCTTACAGTGGTCCTACTTCAGTTTCAAATGCTGCTGGAGATGAGATGCGTGCCCTCCTAGAGGGGCTTAGGATTGCTAAACTTCAATTTAGATCTCTAGTAGTGGCAGGAGATTCAGGATTGCTATAAGTTGGGTCAAGAATCTGGGTATAGGCCCTTGGAATCTCTCTCACATTCTCCTAGAGATCTCATCTCTTATTAACTGTGGTTTCAGATGGATTCCAAGGGAGCTAAATCAGGTTTCTGATGGCTTAGCTAAATCTGGGTTGGGGAGGGACTCTCTGTATAGTGCAAATACAATGTCCATCTTTTAGTTTGGGCTTGTGTGCGTTTCCATGGCCATTTTTTGTACATCCTTCCCCCTGTTTTTGATTATTGAATACAACTTAACTTATTTAAAAAAGTTGTATAGTGCAACTACAATCCTAGCCTGGAGTAGGTTGTACTGAGGAAATCAGACATGGAGGCACCTACAACCTATGACAGCTGTTCAAGTATGGAATCAAGTCCCAGCTTCAGTTAGAACTTACAGACATTAACTTACAGACTGGGCCAACTCTTTAGCTTTTTCATTATCAAAACCAAGAGCAGCTAATATCTTGTGGCCTGTTGATTCTTCCTCGGTCCAAAAGTTCAGCCTTCAGTGAATTAATTCCCCATGCCAATCGGTCCTGAGAATGTAGCTAGCATTTGCATTCATTACACTTGGGTGTAATTCCCCATGCCAATAGACATGGGTGCACCCATTACACTTGCATTCAGAAAGGGAGGTTGCACTGGCAAAGGAATAGAGAAATCTTCATTAGTTAGCATTTGAACAACATCAGACATGGATGGCCTTAAGGAAACTGAAGTCTGTATGCATAGAATCCCAATTTGGAGGGCATTTGGATGCTTCTTTCACTGAAAATTCATCATTCAGGCATTTGTCTACAGATTCTGGCAGTGTATTTGACTTAAAATTATTCCAAACCTGTGGACAAAATGAATGCCGTTATCAAATGGAATGAATGCTTTACACATCTATGCTTAACAGTTGAAATCAAACACATCAACCACTGCTTAATATGTAGCACAACAGGGCAAAGAATCTTACTATTTGTAGAACAGAACCAGTATCTTGTGTGAAGATACTGTTCTTTCTACCACATGCAATCTCAAGAACCAGCACACCAAAGCTATAAACATGTGCTTTTTCGGTTAGTTGCCCTCGAACCAGATAGTCACTAGGCACTGTCACCAAACTTTGTTCTATGGCTCACTTGGCACCTGTTTTGGCACATTTTGCACGTTCAGGAGATGGTGGGTCTGATGAATCATCCGGCACTGATAAACCTAATTCCAGCAACAAGGGTGATTTAGCTACTGGAGAGAGGTTCAAATGCACTCAAAAAGCACAGTAGCTATTTAGTTAGAGTGTTAAATAGATAAATTAAAAATTCTTATTATATGGAAGTCTTGTGTGCAATGAAAAAAGTCTCAGAATCTTGAGTTCTTTATGTCATAGTTTTGCATTAAAATTAACTTATGTTTCTTATTGTGTTCAGTGGTGAGAGCAAGGTTGATCTTGATAATAATGCTGGAGCTGCAGTAAATGTGAGTATAGATCATGAATTATACTATTGCTGAATATTGGTTACAGATTGGAGCTATCATGTACGTAATGAGAGAAATAATGAAATCATCTTTTATTATTAAACAACACATTGTTATTGTTGCTGCAATATTTTGCTATATATTGTGCACATTTATGGATATAGACAGATATCCTATTTTTTATTTAATGTAGAAATGGGGTTATTTATCTCCTTCCCCTACTGGTTTGTTCAATGAAGCTCACAGAGGAGCAGTTGGCGTCTTTCTCAAAACAATTGAAGTATATGGAACAAGGAACTTGTTTATGCAACGAAGAAGAGAAGATTCTGATGATGTGAACCATCTGGAACACAGATGAAACCATAGCAGAGTCTGTTCTACAAATAGTGAGTCCATGAGTCCCACGAATCCCGTGGATCAGATAGAGTTGGGGATGGTAACTTTGTCTGAAACTGAATCCAGGAAACCCAGTAGTGTCGACCTTGTGTCTACAGTCGGATCAATCTTGAGTACTAATGAAGAAGATTTGAGATATAAATCAATAAGATATCTGGTTTTTGTAATTCTGGGTTATCTTCTAGTGGTTCATATAGGGGGATCTGCATTGGTTGCACTATATGTGAGCCTTGTTACAAGTGCAAGAGATGTACTCAGGAACAAGGGCCTTCAGATCCCCACATTCTCTGTCTTCACTACTGTCTCTACGTTTGCAAGTTGTAGTTTCGTTCCTACAAATGAGAACATGATTGTCTTCAGCAAGAACTCTGGACTCCTCCTACTTCTTATCCCTCAGGTTCTTCTTGGGAACAAATTATACCCGTCTTGCTTGAGATTTCTGATATGGGTTTTGGGGTGGTTTACTAAGAAGCCCGAGTTCAAGTACATGCTGATGAATACAAGAGAGATGAAATACTTTCACTTGCTTCCTAGTTTGCATTCTTGTCTTTTGGTTGTTACTGTTTTCGAGTTCATACTGGTTCAGTTTACACTCTTTTGCTCTCTGAAATGGAATTCACAAGGCTTGGATGGGATGAATCCTTTTCAGAAACTAGTGGCTGCCCTGTTTCAGACTGTGAACTTGAGGCACACTGGCGAATCAGTCATCGATCTCTCAATCCTCTCGCCCGCCAAACTGGTTGCACTGAACTTTCCCATGTAGAGATCACAATTGTTTTTGACAAGGGGCTTCTTCTGCGAATCTATGTTTCTCAGTTAACACAACCTCATTTGTTGATGTTGTTTTGGGGTTTATGATTAATTTCAATACATGCAAGGTGCATCTGGACATGGGAGTAGTTACAACTTATCTGATGCAAGGGAAAACACCTTTTTTCTTTTCCTTTGAGGGAGGGGTTGATGAGTGGAATGGGTTGGAGGAGGAAAAGGAAAATATACACATGTTTTTATGTTTTCAAATGATAATAGTACAATCTCAAACCCTGCAAGGCTGCAACCAAAAATGGATTACCCAGGTAGAGCTAGCCTTGCAATCTGATGCCCCCTGTATTTTCTTTTATTTTTTTCTGTCATGACCCCAATAATTGCTTGCTAGATTGCAGTCCTTGATTTATTATAGCTGCATTTTAAAATAACTTTCCCTTCCTTTCAATGAACATTGGTGTGACAATGCTTGTAAGTCCATTTTAAGGAATCACCTGATCTCCTGGAAATAGGAAAAAGGTGGTCATCTATAATGGGGTTAGTGGAATCAATAGGAACTAAAACATCAGAGGAAGCAAGAGGCATACCTAGGTCAGTGTCAACCGAATTTGGAGTCTCCGAAAGTGATGTGGGTTTTCCTGCTATGGAATCAACCTCCTTGTGAAGTCAAAGGCATTGTCGTGAAAAGCACTGAGAAACATGACACAAGGGAGGTGGTAAAGTAGGTGACATAGGAGGGTTGAACGCAGGAGTGGACACAGGCGGGTCAGACACAAGAGTAGACAACAGGGATTGGAACTGGAAGAAGAATAGATTGCTCACTTCCTTCCCCAAAACACTCCCCCTAAGAAGAACCCCTCTGGAAGAAAGGTGTTGACTAAAAAAGGTGACATCCATAATATATACCAACTTCTAGAGACTGGGTCATAGCAACAATATCCCTTCTGGTTTTCTGCATACCCAAGAAATGCACGCTTCATTGCCTTGGATCAAGCTTTGAGCGGTGAGGACCAAGAACATGGAAAAAGCAAACACAACCTAAAACCTTGAGAGGAATATGGAACACCTCCCCCTCAGGAAAAAGAAGGCTAAACAGGGTGCTATATATCTAAGAACACGAGAAGGCACCCGATTTAAAGCCATCATCGATACAGGTGATGAAAAACTGAGTTTCAATACAGTCCAAGTATATGGAGGACTGATACAAATATAAAAATGGGTTTCGTTATTTAACAAAGTTGTGCTAAAGGACTGCAACTTCTAGATCAAACTCTTAGGACTCCCTTTCAATCTCTGGAATGAATAGACCTTAGGAAGAATCGTTAGAGCCCTAGGGGGTGTTCTTCTGGAGTTGAACTTGAGAAGCTTGCATGCTGTGAAGATCAGAGTTGCAGGGCTGAAGTCGGAGAGCTTGCCTCGTGCTCTCGAAATTCTTTCAGATGGAGCCTGGTATAAGGTTTGGCTGGCGACAGAACATGGCCAGAAGTGATCAGTGATCAAATGGAGCCTGGTATAAGTGATCAGTCAAGCCTGGTATAAGTGATCAATCATAGGGTTTTTCCACCTCTCAAAGCCTTCCTTTAAAAGCAATTAATTCAAATTTTTTTGAATTAAATTCAAGAGTTTTGGTGGCCCTTCCTATGCTGATGTGGCCAAAAGAGATTGTAACTCGACACGTCTTAACAGAGCCACCACTTCTAAACTGGGTGTAAGATTGGTCGAGCCATCTTTTGGTCCACTCACCACTTATAGCGAGCCATCATCACGTGGAGCGGGACAAGCTCTATTCGACTGTAGATGGAAACGTCTGTTTATCTTCTTCCAGAAAAGAGGAGCCCGATCTGTTTGCTTCTCAAGGTTATCAGAAATCGCAAACAGGCGGAGGAAGGCGCCCCTAAGCTAGAATCTTTGTTCGAACTATGGCGAGCAGGCTTCCAGTGTAGAAGATCGCCCATACCCACACTATAGTAGGGGTATAATAGAAGAGAGAGAGGAGGAAGATAGAGGTTGGATAAGTTGCAGCACGGAGAGTGGTGAAGAGGGGATTTCAGATGACTGTGCAAGTTTGGATGGCTCAACACAGGAAGATTCCCACGCAGGACAGATCATAGATGAGTTAAACTTAGAGCAACTCTTTCTTGAAAATCCGATGGGTGTACAGAAGACAGATTTGGAGACTCCAATAAATTTGAACAGGGTAGACCAAAGCTCAATTTTGGACAAGCCTCTACCAAGGTTCGGCCCCTTGCAAGTAGCCGTTAAGGTGGTAGGTCATGCTTACCCAGATCTGAACAAGAGTACATCACAGAGAGGTGGACAACCGGGTAGAGAAAAAGGTATTTGTGTAAACTAGTTGACGGGGAATAGTTCCCTCCAACTCGAGGAGACAGGAAGCTTCAATTGTTCTTTACAGGGTTTGAAAACCAACCACCCTCATCTGCCCCTTTCCTACAACCCTCGGTTGGAACCAGGTAACTCTGACAACTCTTTCAATTCAGTTTGTGCTACTAATGAGTGTTCTGTGTCCATTGTTCCATATTCCTTTTCCAACCAAGAGTTAAAGGCCCATGGATAGGAAACCACAATGAGATTACAAGGGGAGGAGGGGGAGACAATAGTAGGATTACAGGGCAGGGATAAAAGGATATGGGGTATCATTGAGAGGATAATGGGTGAAGTGGAAAGGAATGATTTGCAAAGGGAGGGTACAAATGGGACAAAAAGAGTGCCTAGTGGAGAGAAAGAGAAAAGGAATGAGGAGAGGGGTAGACGTGGAGAGCTTGGAAAGCTAGATAAAAAGGAGAATCGTAGGGAAGATTTAGTGGTAGAATTTGTGGGAAAGTTGGGGATGTAAACTGAAGAACCCAAATGATTTAAAAGCATTTCTACAAAAAAAGGAGGATAGAAAGTTCAAGAAAAGAAAATTGAGTGAGGTTAAGAGATTAAAAAGAGATATTGAGGGGGATAAGAAGTTTGGGGCCAGATGGGGCAAAAGGAAAGAGCCCAAGTAGATTTTGGTGGTGATAGGGTAGATTCTTACAAAATTGTGATGAGAATCATAAGTTGGAATGCGAGGGGGCTAGGTAGTGCTAGAAAGAGAGCAACAATCAAAGAGGTGTTTAAGAAGTTCAATCCAGATGTGGTATTACTTCAGGAATCCAAAAGAATGGATTTTGATTGTAGGTGGGCAAGAAGTGTCTAGAGAGATAAGGGGATTAAGTGGGCGGTTGCTCTGTCGTGGGGGTCCTTAGGTGGTATTGTGGCTGTGAAAAGAATGTGTGCTTATAGGACTAGAGGAGTTGATAGGGGATCATTCTGTTTCATTGAAATTTAGGCAGGTGGAAAATGGTTTCAAATGGGTTATAACAAATGTTTATGGGCCCAATGACTATAGGCAAAGAAAGAAACTGTGGGAAGAGTTGAGTGATAGAGAGTCATAGAGGAAACCAACAACCCTAGATAGAGAGTCACAACAAGTATGAGGAGCTTCAATCAGTTTGTGGATTCATTTGAGCTTAAAGAACTCCCAATGCTTAACAATACCTTCACCTAGTCCAACCTCCAATCAAGCCCAATTTGCTCTAAGTTGGACAGGTTTCTCTTTTCTATAGATTGGGAGGCACATTGGAGTAACTTAATATCTAGGGTGCTCCCAAGGCTTACCTCAGACCATTGGCCTATAGTAATGTGTAAGGAGGATTTGAGAGGTGATGGTCCTGCACTGTTTAGATTTGAAAACATGTGGTTGACCCACCTGGGCTTCATTGAGAAAATCAAGGAATGGTGGCAACATTATAATCTGCCAGTACAATGGGAAGGAATGAGGTTCCATAAAAAGCTTCAGTTCTTAAAATCCCAAATAAAGGAGTGGAACAGTTGGAGTTTGGGAGAATTGAGGAAAGGAAACAGGTGTTGATAGAGCAGATAGAAGAGCTGGATATGAAGCAATGAAGGAATCTTTTTGGTGAAGAAGACAGAGAAAGGAGATGGAGTGTAAGGAAGCAATTAGAGGATCTTTTGATTAATGAGGAAATAAGCTGAAGGCAGAAATCTAGGTGCAAGTGGTTGAAGGAGGAGGATAGAAACACCGGATTCTTTCACTTAGTGGCAAACAATAGAAGAAGGAAGAATTTCATTTCAAAATTGGAAGTCGAAGGAACAATTATTTCCCACCCGGTAGAAATAGCAGAAACCTTTGTTGGCCATTTCAAATCTATTTTCAAAAGACCTTTAAATGAAAGGATCTAGTTGGAGGGTTTAGATTGGCTGACTCTAAGTCTAGAAAATAAAGAGTGGTTAGAAAGGAGATTTGATTTGGAGGAGATAAAGGAAGCAATCTTTTCAATGGATAGAACAAAAGCTCCAGGTCCGTACGGATTCACAATGGCTTTTTATCAAGATTGTTGGGGTATTGTGGAGGAAGATATTGGGTCAGTGTTTGAAGAGTTCCACAGAAGGGGAATAATCAACTCGAGCTTGAACTCCACTTCCAATGCTCTAGTTCCTAAGAAGAAAGAGGCTTCACAACCAAGGGACTTCAAACCTATTAGTTTGGTGAATAGTTTGTACAAAATAATCGCAAAAGTGTTGTCTCTAAGGTTAAATAAGGTTCTTCCTTCTATAATTGCACCTAACCAATGTGTTTTTGTGATGGGAAGACAAATTACTGATCAAATCTTGATTGCAAATGAGAGTCTGGAGAGTTTTAAGAAATCCAAGAAGAAAGGAGTGGTGTGTAAACTAGACTTGGAGAATGCTTATGACTTGGTTGATTGGTCCTTCTTGTTGAAGGTATTGAAAAGTTTTGGCTTTGGAGACAGTTGGTGTAATTGGATTTGGGGTTGTATTAGAAGTTGCCACTACTTAATCTTGGTGAATGGAATGGTGGTGGATTTCTTCCCTGCCTCGAGAGGAATAAGACAAGGTGATCCACTATCCCCTTTCCTATTCACTCTAATTGCTGATGTACTTAGGAGACTGATTCAGAGAGCAGATTCA